GCGATACTGGAGCATAGTGTTACTGACAATGACCCAGCAGAGAGAGAAAGTGACGGTTTTAGGAAAAAAACGAAGGCTGCACTCTGGAGAGGGTGCCAGGCTCGCCCCGTGGCTAAGCAGAAAGTGGTAGTCCATAAGATGCTCCTTGTTGCACAAGGGAGAGATGGAAAATGCAGATTAGATGTGGGTGGATCTGAGGTAGCCAGGGTGGAAAGATCAGGGCAGTTCTGTCTGAATAGTTCTAGTTTTTCTGTTCCGTATTAGATGAGAAACGTGAAGGCTCAGAGATCCGTTAACTTGCCTGAGGTCACGTGCACTGGAAGGGGCTGAGCTGGATCTTCTGATTCCAGGCCTTTCCTCACCTGGGTCACCTTCTCTGCTGTTCCTTCCCCTCCGCAGTGTGGTGCCCGTGAATAATAATCTGTGCAACCCGAGTGCGATGAACCTCTCCGCCGTGGGCTTCACTGTTTGCACTTGTTGGTGCTGCCACAGACGGCAGTGAACGCCACAGGCCCTGAAATGTTCTTTCTCTGTTTCCATCCATAACCCCAGCTGCTGTTTCCTTTCATGGCACCATAATCTGAAGAGAAACCTGCTATGCTCTCCGCAGTTGCTGGGGCAGAGCAGGTGGATGGAGGGTGGAAGGTTCTAGCGGCATCTTCACCGGTGAGGGCTGTGTCAGGCCCAGGGTCTCCCTCCCATTCACCAGCCTCGGGAGCCCTATTCATTTATCCTGGAAAGTGGCTGCAGGAGTGCAATGTGGCTGAAGTGTGGCTGGGGAGGTTTCCTAAGGTTCTTTCATTTTTTTTCTTAATTATTTGAGAGGCAGAGAGAGCTCCTATCTACTGGTGCATCACAGGCACCGCCTTGGGATGGAAAGATTGGCCATGGCTTCCGTAGACTATGACTTGGCATTCCCCCTGGGAGTTCCCCATGAGCTGGATCCTGCCCTGGCTGTGGCTTCCCCTGTCTGCTCTTCTCCGTGGCCAGCCTCCTGCCCCCACTTTTCTGTTGTCCTAGGATGAGCTTTGCAGATCCCCTCCTCCCAGGGCACTCTCATGACCTGGGCAGCACTGCGTTGACCTGGCAGCACTCTGCGTGACTTGGGCAGCACTGTGTGTGACCTTGCAGTGGAGGGAAAATGCTGGTTCATGGGAGGCCTCCCACAGGTTGTGAGTGCTGGCTGAGTTTTGCAGGCTACCTAGACATGACCCAGAAAAGGAAAGGAAGTGCTGTGTTTAACTTCTGAGAGGTAGAAATGAGCCTCATGCGTTTAGGGAACGGGATAAGCAAAGCGCAGAGCTTTCAGTGAGACAGGAGCTCCAAGGAGAGACAGGAAGTCAGTCATGGAGAGCCTATGTCTCCCGTAATTAAGTCTCTGGCCTACACCTTAGGCCACAGCCATTCCCTTCCATTAAATGCCGATGCTGTTTTTAACACAGCCATGCATAAGGGAGCCTAAGGCAGCTGACTTTCCTCTCACCTGTATTAGCTGGACACTGTTGTCTGCTCTAGAGTTGTTTCAAAATAATAAAGTGCAGGGACACAGTTTGTGGGCCTGAGTCTGGTGTTTCGATGGGTGCTGACTAGCAAACTGGGGCACAGATACAGGGACACGGCTCTCAGCTAGAGCTGGCTGCGTTTTTAGGAAAAAAGTATAAAGTCCAATGCCTAGGTACAGAGATAGTACAATAGCAAGAGAGAGAAGTTCAACACAGCGTGTTACAGTATCTAGTAACTCTTTATTTCCACCCAAGACTGTCTGTCCCGCTGGGACTCACTGCCACCCGTGTCTGATGCTGCGCCTGCCTTTCCCCTCGGAGACGGAGGCGTGGACCACGTTCTGCTTACGTCACCAAAGTCTTCCTCGCTACCCGCCAAGCGCCGTGCCTCTGACTCTATCAGACCTTATCAATGTTTCAGGACTGGAAAACCGCGATATTTGCATCTGCAAAACAATGCATGACTTTAGGACTGTAACAGGCTTTAAAGCAGAACATACATGCTCTTTCTGCTTCTCCCAATGTTTTTTGATTAAGATTTTATAATTTTACTCCCATTCATGTTTTCACAGAAACCTGCACTCTGTGCCTGAGTGTCTCTCTTTTAGAATTTACTTATTTTTAAAATGTTTATTTATTTATTTGAAAGGCAGAGTTGGGGGGGGAGAAAGAGAGAGACAGACATAGAGAGAGAGAGAGAGAGACCTTCCATCTGTGGGTTTACTCCCCAGATGGCTGCAATGGGCAGAGCTGGGCTGTCCTGAAGCCAAGAATCAGGAGCTTTTGCTGGGTGTCCCATGAGGGTGCAGGGGCCCAAGCACTTGGTCTGTCTTCAGGCTCATTAGCAGGGAATTGGATTGGAAGTAGAACAGCTGGGACTTGAACCAGAATCCATATAGGATGCCGGGGCTGCAGACGGCAAATTTACCTGCTACACCACAGTGCTGGCCTCCGTGATTCCATTTTCTTTACTGATTAAAAATCACTTGAGGGGGTAAGCATCTGGTGTGGTGGTTAAGAAGCCACTTAGGATACCCTGAACCCACATCTGGGTGTTGGGATTCACATTGTAGCTCTGCTCCTGATTCTAGCTTCCTGGAATGCGCAGCTTGGGAGGCAGCAGGTAATGGCTCAAGTGACCGTGTCCCAGAACCCACATGGGAGATTTGGATGGAGTTCTGAGCTCCTGAGCCTGGGCCTGCCCTGGCTATTGCAGATACTTGGAGAGTGATCCACCCAAGCTTAACTCCACCATGCACAGACTTTTGGGGAACCCCCGTGTCCCCATGCACTCACACAGTCCTAGCGGAGAAGCAGGTAAATAGTTCCAGGCGTGCAGGTGCGTGCTGCGGGGACACATGATGGCACATGAGCATGCGGGGCGTCCCAAGGGCTGGGAACAGAACCCACACAGCCCAAGGTTAGAGGCAGCCCCAGGTGTCTGAGGGGTGGGGCAGCCTGCCCACAGGCCAGGGGGTCCAGGGAGCAGTCTGCAGAGGCAGCTTTAGGTCAGTTCCAGAGGCACATTTTATGTCAGCTCACAGAGTGCACACACAACAGCTAACTTACATTACCCAGAATGCTCTCAATCAGCCAGTGTAAGGAACAGTAAGACAACAGAGAGAATGAGAACAAAAGAAAGACAACTTAATTACTTGTGGGCTGCAAAAGATCCAGACACTGAGGATCTCACGGGATCTGAGGGTGCCATGGTCAACCTGCATTAGAACTGGGGTCCAGATCTCCAGGACAGGACCAGCCCCATTCATTCATTCCTTCTCTCTCTCTGCCCGCCCCCAGCCCCTTCTCTCACATCTCTGTCCCTTGGACTCCAACTCAGACACAGGCTCCCTTCCCAGGAGAGAGGGCTCCCACCATCCTGGCATTCACAGCCCCCACTGGAAGCCCTCCGGATGGAGAACTCTTCCTGGTACCTCTGTCTCCGGCCCGGCAGAGCCCTGGCATGGACGCTACCTGCATTATGAGCTCATCCAGCTCAGGCACTGTGACCAGGGGTGGCCACCCAGGGGGCTGTGCCTGTGTCCCCTGCCCTTCCTGGCCACGGGTGAGGGTGATGTTTTGGGTCTCGTTGCCCCACTAAAGAGGCATTGTGTAGACACTTTCTCTGTTGATGAGTAACCTGGCTGTCACTGGTTCTGCATGTCCACCCCATTAGCACATGGTCCCCAGCAGCCTTTAGCTGAGTACAAGGGCTCTCATCAGCTTGATAAAACACATCAACACACGTGCAGATTATTTATCACCACACCCAGTGAACCAAGTTTGACAAAAGTCTGTGACACCTCTCTGAGGACAAGCAAAACTCCTTTACTTCACTGATATCAGATTTGGAGGGAGAAAGAAAGCTTGGTTCTGGGGACTGGTGTATGGCACAGCGGGCTAAGACACTGCTTATGATGCCAGCATCCCATACTTGAAGTGCCTGTTCAAGCCCTGGCTCCAAGCCAGCTCCATACTAACACACCTGAGAAACCAGCGGCATATGATCCAAGTACCTGGGCACCTGCAACCCCTGTGGTAGACCTGGGTGGAGTTCTAGGCTTTTTAAAAAGGTTTATTTTTTGATTATTTTATTTTATTTTTTGACAGGCAGAGTGGACAGTGAGAGAGACAGAGAGAAAGGTCTTCCTTTGCCATTGGTTCACCCTCCAATGGCCGCCGTGGCCGGCGTGCTGCGGCTGGCACCCTGCGTTGATCAGATGGCAGGAGCTAGGTACTTATCCTGGTCTCCCAGGGTGCAGGGCCCAAGGATTTGGGCCATCCTCCACTGCACTCCCTGGCCACAGCAGAGAGCTGGCCTGGAAGTGGGGCAACTGGGACAGAATCTGGCGCCCCTACCGGGACTAGAACCTGGTGTGCCAGCGCCGAAGGCAGAGGATTAGCCTAGTGAGCCGCGGCGCTGGCAAAAAAGATTTATTTTTTTGAAAGGTAGAGTTACAGAGAGAGAGGGAGGAATACAGACAGACAAACAGACAAGACATGCACACACACACAGACACACAGAGTAAAGGGGAGAGGGAGAGAGAGAGAGACAGAGATACAAAAGAGAGGTCTTACATCTGCTGGTTCACTTCTCAAATAGCCACAATGGCAAGGGAAGTGCCAGGTGGAAGCAGGAACCAGGAGCTTTCTGGGTCTACACTGTGGGAGAAGCAGCCTAAGCATCTGGGTCATCTTTCGCAGCTTTCCCAGGCACATTAGCAGGGAGCTGGATTGGAAGTGGAGCAGCCAGACTGAAGCCAGCACCCATATGGGATGCCAGTACTGCACCGCTGGCTGAACCCATTACACCACAGTGCCAGCCCCGTAGGCTCCTGGCTTTAAACTGACCCTCCCTAGCTGTTGCGGCCATGTACGAAGTGAACCAGAGGATGGAAGATCAATCCCTCTCTGTCCACGGATCTCTCAAATAAATAAATCTTAGAAGAAACTGTTATGCCCAGATCTGAATCCCCAAAAATCACCAGAGACTTGATCTCACCGAAATGCAAAAGCAAGGTTTACTCTGGAAGTATAAGCTGCGGCAGGGACCTCATCTAACCAACCGACGCAGTGGAGGTCAGAGGAAGGCCCTGAGCTTTGTTCGGGAGCGTTTTTAAAACAAAGCTGCAGTGTTACATCAGCAAGGGTTTGGGGTACGGGGCTACAGTGGATTGAACGGTGCCATTCCTGGTAGCTCTTGGTTGGACGAGTCTGATCCTGATTGGCTCAGGCCCAGGGCATTTCCTTATTTGGTTTTGGTAACTGTTGAATGTTTGCATTTACGGGAACTTGGGCCTGCTCCAGAAAATGGAGGCTACTTTTTAAAATGGAGGCGCCTTGGCTCTTCAGAATTTAGGCGCCAGTGCTGTGGCATAGCAGGTAAAGCTGCCACCTGTGACACTGGCAACCCATATCAGGAGGCTGGTTTGAGTCCCGGCTGCTCTGATTCTGATCCAGCTCCCCGCTAACGTGCCTGGGAAGGCAGAGGAAGATGGCCAACTACTTGGGGCATTGCCAACTGAGGGGAGACCTGGATGGAGTTTGGGTGCCTGTCTTCAGACTGGCCTAGTCTAAGCCATGGTAGCCATTTGTGGGGGGGGGGGGCAGGGAAGGTGAACCAGTGAATGAAAGTTCTCTCTCTCCCCTCTTTCCTCTCTCTCTCTGTCTCCACCCGTGTGTGTTTATTGTCTCCCTGTATCTGTAACTCCACCTTTCAAATAAATAGTTTTAAAAATAAAAACAGTCTAATAAGACATTTTCTTAGCAGTTTCCTTTGGGATTTACACTGAATTGAATTCTTGGGGCAGTGCCCACAGAGATTCCGCCTCCTCATTTTAGTCCAGCGTGGACAAGATAGGACTTTCCACAGCATGTTCAGGCTACTGCTGAGCAGAGCTGGGGGACACAGAGTCCTCAGGGCCATCACTTACCTTGGGGGAGATGAATTTTCTAAAACACATGGGTCTGCAAGGCTCCCACCAGCACTGGGGAGGAGTGATGAGAAGGAGAGCTGTGTGTCTCTCGTCCTTGCCGACGCTGTTTTGCAGTCCGGATGGGAACTCTGTTTTTCCTCGAACTGGGTTACTTGAAGGGACTTGGAAAACCTCATGGAAAATGGAAATAAAGGATGAGCTTATTTGTTGCAGTTTTTGAAATTCACGCATAGGAGAGGGGATACAAAACATTCACGGGCAAAGTATGTTAAGGACAAACTATGCACAGGTTTTCAAAAGTTTTTGCACCTAAATAAATTTTGAATTCTATATCTGGTGATGTTTTGGTAGTATCCTGAGTTTCATCTTTATTTGATCTGCCTTCAAAAACTCCAACCTTATTACAAAGATGAGTTTTTACCTGTGCTTAATGGAAAACAGTCCCCAACGTCTTCATAATTTAATTTTTTTGACTTTTGTAGCAAAACTGTAGTGAGAATTCCTGGGGTGCTGGTTCTTTCCTCTCAGCCCTGAGGAGGTGACCAGCACTGCAGGAAATCATGGAGAAATCGCATTGTGCAGTGTCCCTGGACATCCTGGAGGAGGGGGTCATCTCCCCAGGGAGGGGTTCCTCTCCCAAGAGGGTGTGGGCAGTCGGTGCAGAGGGACCATCAGTGTTCCTGGGGCCCATGGCTGTGCTGGGCCCTGGGGGCTCCTCAAGAACTGCAGGAGACACAGATCCACTTGCTATGTGGGGGCAAGGGTTACCGGGCTCACTTCCTACCTGAGATGAGTGTGGGGAGCAACTCGGACTAGACTAAGTTACTGGAATTAAGACTTATTCTATGCATCTGCTCTCCCACAATATGGCGCTGGGAGAGAAGAAAACAGCTTCTACACAGCTGCCTCCAGTTCAGCCAATAAACTGTAGGACTTGCTCCTGATTGGAGGAGAGCAGCGTACTCGGCGTGTGGGTAGCAGAGTTGGGATTGGTGGAAGAGGACTATAAAGGAGGAGAGAGCATGCACCAGGAACATCTAAGGGGAACATCTAAGGGGAACACCTGTGCAGCCCCCGAGAGAGCCGGCCGGCGGTGTGCCGCTCCCCCCGGAAGTGGGGAATGTGGCAGGGGGAACCGCCCTTCCACGGAGGTGGAAGGGACGGTAGCCACCCCGGGAAGAACCAGCAGCAAACCCGGGGAGGGCCGAGCAGACGAAAGAACAGCGCAGGGTCCTGTGTCGTTCCTCCACGAAGACGGGGAGCGACATAATGGTGCCGTGACTCGGATATGAAGCCTAGGCAGGGTTTAGTGTCGTTCCCCCATGAAGACGGGGCGAGATGAGTTTGTCGCTTCCTTGGGAGAAACACTGCTCCTGAGGGCTCAGCACGAAGCTGTCCCAAGGAGACAGATGTGAGGCTGTGATGCGGCCATCGTCCCGTCCTAGTTCTGGGCAGTGCAGGACCTGAGGAGTTGAAGCAGGGAGTTTCTCCTTTTTTCCTAAGTTGCATTCTATGTGTGTGAGAGTGAAGAGGGGAAAGAGAGAGTGCTAGTGAGAGAGAGAGAGAGAGAGAGAGGGAGGGAGCTAGGGAGAGGGAGCTAGGGAGCTCCTCCATCCTCTGATACAGCCCATAAATGACCTCCAGGCCTTGGCCAGGCTGAAGCCAGGAGCCAGGAGTTTTGGTGGTTGTTGTTACAGGAGCCCAAAAACCCCAAGTGCCTGGCAGTGCCTCGATTCCTCCCTACCGGGTGGAGGACAGTCTCAGAGGATGTAGCTTTCTCGGCTGCCTCTGATTGGGCCTTCCATGTTTGGACTGCACAGACCCCACTACCTTCTGGGCTTCCAGGGTTTCTGCCAAGAAATCTGACGATGACTTAGGGGGAAAGGGTGACAGAGCCACCTTCCTCTCAGCTCTGGAGGTGCGAACAGTGTACCTGGCGGTGTCTTGGGCAGCAGAACACTTGTTGAGTTTACCGAGGCCAGAGATGTTGTTCCATCATTCTGAGACCCATCACTCAGAGAGTAAAGACAAAGGAGGGGCTATACTAAGTGGAGACACTAGGAGGTCTTCAAAAGATGCAACGTATCATCATATTTAAACTAGTAATGAGAAGGCCACCCAAGCAATCTATAGGTTGGAGTTTCTCAAAAATTAAGTATCAAGCCCTATCACCAACCTAGGCCAAAAACTCTTTGGGTATCGTTTTAATTTTATTGGAAGATTATCGAGAAAAACCACTGTGGATGAACTACAGCTCCCATTGGTCAATTTCTTGCTCTGACTTCATAAGTCACCACTGTTATGAAAGTCATATTACACAGTCCCTGGCTGGGCTGTGACTGGTCCATTTCTTGCTCTGCTCTCACAAGGCGCCATTATGTGAGGTGAACCCCCAAAAAGTATATATAGCTGCTACGGGGGCCTAGATTTTTGTCCGCCTTACCCAGAGAGCACTCTTTTGTGATCTGTGTAACTAGGACCCATCTAACCAGCCTTTGCGCTCATTGGTGTTGCTTGTGCTTTTTCTTGGTTGTTTGTTTCTGGGTCTATTTGGTTTTTGCTTTTTTCCATTTTGTTTAGTTTGTTGTTTTCCTCCTCGTTGTTGTTTTGCCCATTTGGTCTTTTTTTGCAGTTTTCTTTATTTTTGCTTCCCCCACTCTAGTCAGCTAGCACACTCAGAAGTATCAGCGTTCGAGGATTTAGTGGCTTTTCCTCTTTGTTTTTTCTGCATTATTGAGATAGGCTTGCGGCATCGCCGCTAGAGTAGTGAGAGTAGCTGGTGCTGTGTCTTAGTCAGCTGGGTAGTCAGTCCCCCGTGGTCCCTTTGTGTTGTAGGCAGTGCAGTGAGGATCGGTGATTAGCTAGTGTGTGTCGAGTGATTTAGGGAGTCGAGAGAGCGTAGTTAGGTGACCGGCATCATGGAAGACCCCTTGGACTTCCATCCTCCTCTGGATGGGATCCGTTTTGTGGACGTAATCGGCCGGGGCGGCTTTGGCCTGGTGAAGCTGGCCCGGCACCTGGCGTCGGGCAAGTACGTGGCAGTGAAGATCCTCCTGCGAGACTGCTCTCCCAGCAGCCCGCTGTCCGCGCAGGGGAGGCAGCCATCCTGAGGAGCCTGCGGCACGACAACATCGTGCGGCTGCTGGAGGAGCGGCACACGAGGACGCACCGGTTCCTGGTCATGGAGCTGGCGACCAAGGGCTCGCTCCAGAGCTACGTGTTTGAGCAGGGCGGCCTGGCCGAGGCCGAGGCCAGGACCCTGTTCGGCCAGGCGCTGGCCGCCGTGAGCTACTGCCATGCCCAGCGCGTGGTGCACCGGGACCTCAAGCTGGGCAACCTGCTGCTGGACGAGCACATGACCATCAAGCTGGCGGACTTCGGCCTGAGCCTGCGGCTGGAGCAGGGCACACTGGTAAGGGGCTTCTGGGGGACCCCCGAGTACTGCGCACCAGAGGTTTTCCTCGGGGAGGCCTATGACGCTTTTAAGGCTGATGTGTGGAGCCTGGGAGTGGTGCTGTTTGCCATGCTGGCGGCCACGCTGCCCTTCCGCGGCAAGGACACGGAGGAGCTGCAGGACACGGTGCTGTGTGCCTGCTATGTGCTGCCGCGTGCCGTCAGCCCGGCCCTTCGGGAGCTACTGGCTTGGCTGCTCACTGTCCACGCCTCGGGGAGGCCCAGTGCAGAGGATGCCAGGGCACACTGGTGGTTCGATTCCGGCCGAGAAGCCACCCAGGAGGAGAAGGAGGCCGCTGTCACCCTGCTGCAGCCCCTGGGCGTTCCCCGCGACTCAGAGGCCAAGGAGTACCTGGCGGGCCTCGGCCTGCTGCCAGGCACGGGGACTGAGGGGACGCCAGGCCCTTAGCCCCAGGGCCCTGCATCCCTGCCCGAGTCCTCACAGGGCGGGGAGCGCCACCCCACAGAGAAGGACCGCTTGTCTGTGGTATCAGTGTCCTCTGAAAGCATGTCTGTCAATATTTCCTCCGCACAAAGCGACTCCTCCGAGGCCTCCAGAGAGTCTTGCCCTCTCCCCTGCCTCGGGGCCTCCAGGAGCTGAGCCCAAGGCCCCTGAGGTGACCCCACTCTTGACTCTCTCCTACCAGGCCAGCCACAGCAGGAGAGGAGCCCTGCTCCCAGCACCACCCCCAACTCCTCCCAGGCCTCCAGTGAGTCTGGCCCTCCCCCCTGCCTCGGGGCCTCCAGGAGCTGAGCCCAAGGCCCCCGAGGTGACCCCACTCTTGACTCTCTCCACCAGGCCAGCCACAGCAGGAGAGGAGCCCTGCTCCCAGCGCCGCCCCCAACTCCTCCCAGGCCTCCAGTGAGTCTTACCCTCCCCCCTGCCTCGGGGCCTCCAGGAGCTGAGCCCAAGGCCCCCAAGGTGACCCCACACTTGACTCTCTCCTACCAGGCCAGCCACAGCAAGAGTGGAGCCCTGTTCCCAGCGCCGCCCCTGAGCCAGCCTCCGAAGCGTCGCCCTCCAGCCCCAGTGCCGGGAGCCACGTGGACCTTGCAGAGCCAGAAGCCGCCGCCGCCACAGCCCGTGAGCCCAAGGATGCTGACACCACAGACACCAAGGCCAGCGCCCAGGGCAAGAGGCAGGGCCGTCGCGGGGTCGGCAGGAGGATCCTCCGGTTCCTGCTGAGGGCGTGCTGCATCCTGCCATCCCAAGTGAGCAGCCCTGGCAGCTGCTGCAGAGTGGTTCCCAAGTAGCCTCGCCCCGCCCCCGTCTCCAGGAGCTATCCGCTGAGCTGACTGAACTTTTCTTGAGCATTTGCACATGCTTCTCATGAATAAAATTCACCATGTGTGCATGGCTTTGGTCCCGTGTGATGTTTGGTCCCTGTGTGCACCCTGGGCAGGTGATGGAGGTGACGGGTGGGTGGCTCTCACAGAAAGACAAACGCTGGGCCATCTCCCCTGTGTGGGGATCACAGAAGGGCTGACATCATAGAAGTAGAGCATAGAGTGACGGATCCCTGAGCCTGGGCCAGGGGAGGAGGGAGGGAGAGTCACAGCTTCCATAGTGGCACAGGCACACGGGGGTTGGGGTCTGATGAAGAGTTGATGAACCAGGAGAAGAAGAAAACGGATCCAAAGCGCTGATGCCTCCCGGACCCTGGGGGGAAGCTGAGCTTGATGCCCTAGCCTGCCCAGGGCTTTCCGGTGACAAGCCTATGAACTCCTTTTCATTCTGAAACCTGCTTGGGGGGAGCTTGTCTTATTTCCATCCAGCATGCTGAAACTCTTCCTGTCTTCATAGCTGGGAAGTTTCATTTTTCAGGCCTGCAAGCACAGAAGTTTCATTATCCCCCCTTGCCTGGAATTTGGAGCTTCCAACCCAGTCCCCTCCAAGAACCCTGTTTCTTCCTGTTGGTGGGGAAATTACCTGCAGTCCCTAAGGGTCATTACCCTTTCATGGCTGCTGCCCAGGAGCCTGCACAAGCGCATCATGGAAGAGGAAATGGAATGAGCTGTAAACGATGAAGAGATGACACCTTAAGGGACAGGAAAATCAAAATGCAATGGGGGGGAGGGGCAGCAGTATGGTGTAGCTGGTAAAGCCCCCACCTGTGATGTTAACATCTCATTTGGGTGCCAGTTCCAGACCCGGCTGCTCCACTTCCTACCCAGCTCTCTGCTAATGTTCCTGAGAATGCAGTGGACGACGGCTCAAGTGCACCCACTGGGGAGACCCAGAAGAAGATCCAGGCTTCTTCAAAGAGACATGCATGCACACATGCACAAGAATGTTCAGGACTACCTTGTTGATGATACCAAGACTGAAAACAACTGATGTATGTGTACACAAGAAGTAAAGATTAACTGTGGTATAGTTACTAATGCATTTTAGAAGGCAATGAAAATTAATGAACTTCAGCTACATATGGATGTGGATACAATGTGAGTAAATCTAAAAATCATAGCTCTGGGGGCTGGCACCATGGCTCACTTGGTTAATCCTCTGCCTTGCAGTACCAGCATCCCATATGGGCACCAGGTTCTAGTGCTGGTTGCTCCTCTTCCAGTCCAGCACTCTGCTGTGGCCCGGGAGTGCAGTGGAGGATGGCCCAAGTGCTTGGGCCCCTGCACCAGTGTGGGAGACCAGGAGGAAGCACCTGGCTCCTGGCTTTGGATCGGCTCAGTGCGCCGGCCATAGCGGCCATTTTGGGGGTGAACCAACGGAAGGAAAACCTTTGTCTCTCTCTCTCTCACTGTCTAATTGCCTGTCAATAAAATGAAATAAATAAAATAAAAAGCATAGCTCCACGTAAGAAATAGAACTCCCAATACCTACAAAAGTCATTTAGATACATACGATAATTGGTACATTATCCAGGGTTGTATCGGTAGAACAGCATAGGAGTGATCAACATAAACTCCTAAGAGTGTCTGTTCTTCAGAGGACTAATAGACCAGCATCCCAGTTATGTACGCTAACTCGGTGGTGGTTGTAGGCACGCTCACCCTACTCTTTACATTATATTGTTTTATACTTGTGTATGCATGTCACATGTTGCATTTTGTAGTGCAAATATTCATACAAAATGTAGCATTTTAACCATTTAAAATTACTTATTTCGTTCATTTGAAAGGGAGGGAGAGAAAGACAGAGATAGCTCTCTCATTCACTTGCTCACCCCCAAATGCCCACAACAGCCAGGGCTGAGCCAGGCAAAGAAGCTAGAGCAGGGAATTCAATCTGGGTCTCCCTGTGGGTGGCAGAGACCAAAGTACTGAAACCATCACCACTGCCTCCCAGAGTGCACAGTACAAGGCAGCTGGGGAACGGCAGGCACTGTGCTGTCAGTTACCCGCTGCTCGCAACACTGGTATCCCATATGGGTGCTGTTTTGAGTCCCCATGGGAGACCCAGAAGGAGTTCTGGGCTCCCAGCTTCTCCTGGGACAGCCCCGGCCTTTGCAGCCATTTGGAGAGTGAGCCAGCAGATGGAAGACCTGTGTGTGTGTGTGTGTGTGTCCCTCTCACTCTCTCAAATAAATGAGTTTTCTTTGAACAAGGAAGCTCGTGTTAGGAGCTGCATTACCAGGAAGCTGGAATCAGCCAGGTGGGAACAGAACCCAAGCACACCAAAATGAGATCCAGGCCTCCTAAGCGGGCATCTTAAACCTCTTTGCCAAAAGCTCATGGCTAAATGTTTTTTAATTGAACAGTTCTATGGCACTAAGCAGAGTCATGTGGCTGCTCAGCCATCCAGTTTTCATCTCCAGGATCTTTTCATTACCAATTTTGTGAAGCTTTTGCATTATTTTTCTTCTAAGGAGTTTTTTTTTTTTTTAAGATTTATTTATTTATTTGAAAGAGTTACAGAGAGGAAGGCAGAGAGAGAGAGAGAGAGAGAGAGAGAGAGAGAGAAAGTGAGATCCTCCACCTGCTGGTTTACTCCCCAATTGGCTGCAAGGGCCCGAGGTGCGCTGATCTCAAGTCAGGCACTTCTTCCGGGTCTCCCACACGGGTGCAGGGGCACAAGGACTTAGACCATCTCCTACTGCTTTCCCAGGCCAGAGCAGAGGGCTGGATCGGAGTTGGAGCAGCCGGGACAGGAACCAGTGTCCATATGGGATGCCAGCACTGCAGATGATGACCTTACCTGCTACCCACAGCAGGGTCCTCCTTTCTGAGAGTTTTGTGGTTTGAGCTCTTCCACTTAGATCTTTGATCCATTTTGAGTTCATTTTATATTTACATTCTCATAGATTTATATTTTTACATTCATCTTATTTATATGCGAATTCATCTTTTTGTATTATAACGCCTTTTTAAACAAAAGAAAAGAATCGCAGACTATTGGCTCCGGTAGGAACCCGCCCCATTACAGAGATCTGGGGAGGGAAGCAGGAGCACACAGGGCTCAGGCAGCTGCTTCTAACGCCCCCGGGGCCTCGTGGCTCAATCCGCTTTCACAGCTCAACTGAAGCTACAGTTGGGGCCTCGGGTTGGGATCCGCCCCTTCCTGCTGCGCGCCCGCCCACGTCTCAGCACTAGCCCCGCCCCCGTCGGAGCCTTGAGAAACAGGCCCCGGTCTAGGGTGGGAGGGAAAACCCGGAAAAGTGGGATTCCTTCTGGTGGCCCGTCAGCGGCAGCTTGAAGGCCTGGCCTCCAGCTCCGTTGCAGTTGTTGATCCGGACCACGTTTTCACTTACGCCCAAGGCCGGACGGGAGCCGAGGGCCCTGGGCGGGGGACCCAGGCCGAGGGGAGGCAGGGCGCGTGCTCGGCCCGGATTGGCCATTCTAAACGGCGCGGGGCTTGGCGGGAGTTTCGTGGGCGCCGCGGGAGCAGAGAGCAGCCAGATGGCTCCGCCGGGCCGGGTGCGGTCCCGGAGGCCTGCAGGGTGAGAGCTGCGGGTCCCGCTCCGACTGACGCGGTTTGAGCCTTTGGGGCTGCGCTGGTGGAGCTTCCTTGTCGAAGTGACAGATCGCCCAGGGCCTCGGTTTGCATCTCTCAGTGCGGATTTCCTAGGAGGAGTCAGGGCGTGACGCCTGGCCTGGCGGGTGGGAGAGACTTTGGGGTTCCTGTGGCTGAGGGTCGCGGGCGCTTGGTGCCTGCTGTTCCCCAGACGTGACGGGCTGCAGCCCTGCGGGTCGTGTCTGCCTTCGTACCCCAAAGCGCAGACTGTAACGCTGGCCCTCACCCCTGCCCGGGGACCGAGCTGCCCCTTCGGGAGTGTTCCAGGGCGGGGAGCAACTTTTCTCAAAAGGGGCATGCATTGGAAAGTACGTCGTATTCGTCGTTCACAGATTCGTGAGTGGACGCCCGGGCTCTCTAGCGTTGTCTACAGGGCATCCAGGCGCCGAAAGGTTTTTAAAAACCTGTTAGAGATGGAGACTTAGGGCATGTGTTGAGCCCTTCCCTCAAAAATGCACAGGAAAACACGGTTGTCTCAAGCGTCCATCTTGAACGAAGCCTCACCTGGACTCCAGCTTAAGGCGTATTTTTTGATTTGAGCACACGCAAGAGACAGCTGGAAGTAATTTAGGTTAAGACGCGTACTGATGTGGTTTCTGCTTCCTGCTAACGTTACTTGACTGTGTGGCCATTGCTGGATTTTTGTGGGAGGCCATGGATTTGAACTGAACGTCAAGCCGGTCACTGGGCTTAGGTGGCTGGGGGAAAGCTCTGTAGCAGTTAACTAACTGGGCTGTATGCAATGAACTGGATAAGGTGTTACCAATTGGTTGATTGGGTAGGCTGCAGCCAATTAAGTTAATGATGTGTGATCGCTCAGGTTGCTGGTGGTTCTCAGAACTTGCTTATTTTCTGGGGCTGCTCCATTCCCTAATTCTTTCTGGTTTTGCTTTGCCCAAATAAACTCGTCTAAATTTAATTGAACTAAAACTTCCCTGTTACCATCATTGCTAAGTCATTTAGCTTTCCTGAACCTCTGAATTATAACCAGAATCATAAAATTGCCATTGAGCAAATACTTGTTGTACCATTTTAGGTTTGGAGACTCAGAAAAAGCGTGGGAACTTGAGAACTGTGAACTCTCCACCCAACCCTTGACTTACTGAGCCAGAAACTGGGGGTGGCGCCAGGTGTGAGACCACTGCTCTAAACAGTGTTCCAGCTTTCTTTCTTTTTTTTTTTTTTAACTGTGATTCACACAATGATGTTTTGCATCGCAGTTAGTACGCAGGTGTGCATGAAACAAATCAGAAAGTTTATGAAAATATCCTATCCAGTGCAATCTTACATTTTATGTTCCCTTGATTTTCCCTTTTAAGAAAATGCTAGGGTGAAAATCCTAAAGGGTGTTGGAGAGCTGATGAGATTTGGACATGGACTGTAGGTTGGATAATCACTTTGCAAATGTGAAATATCTAGATTTTGGAAATCCGCTATGACTGTGCACGTGCATGCCCTCTCAGGGAAGCCATATGAAGTACTTCAGTTAGGAGTGCTTACCTTGCACAGGCAGAGGAAGCAAAAGAGACGGTGAAGGCAACTGATGAACCTGGGTACAGGGGAGACAGTTTGAAATCATGTCAAATAAAGTACCTGAAGAATATTGGTTCAGACACACTAATCTGATACTGCCCTCCACAAAGGAGTCTTTGAAAACTGCAAGGTGTATTTTAAAGCCAGGAACTAGTACTGGATTCTACTAAAGTATCTCTAATACCCCATGCAGTGCCTCAGCTGTGGAGGGTGCTCAGTGCTTGTTCACTGAGTGCTGATGTTAATATAGGTTTTTCTTGCCACTGGTGTTTTCAGTTGTTAGTCTAGTCACTGTTGTTGCATTTGCTTCCTTTTCACTTCTAGAAGATCCGCACCTTAATCTGTTTTACGGTGTGCCCAAGGTCACTGGAGAGTGTTATGGGGTGGGAAGAAGGTAGGCTGTGGATTTGAACCGATGGGGTTTTCCTGCAGGCTCCTCTCCTGCCTGGCTGCCTGTTGCTCTGTGCCCGTGCAGAGCTGTCACACGGCCCCCCTCTACTTCATAGGATTGTTAAGCTGTGTGATCCCGGGCCAGGCGCAGATGGAATGGGTGTGAGGAGTCTCATCCATGTTGGTATCCATCCCCTTGGCTCAGCTCTGCGGAGAGTCAGTCTTCCCTGACAGATCCGGGTGCAGGGGCCAGCGTGACAGCAGGATTAGAAGTTTTCCATGATCTTGAGGGACCGAGGTGGTCACTTTATATGTATTGGTGATATAATTTGACTCGTATGTTTACAGGGTCTGGGTTCTGCTTCTTCGTCATAACTTTAGTTCCATTGCATGCGCGCTATTAGTACAGCTACTGAGCAGTGTAATTTGGGAAGACAATACTTGGAGAGAGTCAGGTTATGGTATTTTCCCTGGTTGCTTTAAATATTTCCTAACTTTTTTTTTCCTGTTTCAGTGCAGTATGTTCAAAGAACACTTTAAGAAGAACACATCCTATGAAAGAAGTAAGTTCTCTTTTTAGCTTTTAATGTGATTTTTCTCACAGTTGACTATAAAAGTAAGCTTTGGTGAGGACCTTAGAGTTTTCTGTATTTCACGTGATAAGCTCTGTTTTAGGGTAGTAAAAAAAAAAGTTTATTCCTTTTCTTACTTTTTCCACTGTTAGAAAAGAACCTTTGTTAACATTTTAGAAACATTTTTTTTTCCAAGCCTAGATTTGTTTCATCTAGATAATTAGCACTGTGTAAAAATTGTACAGCTTTCTGAATTTTGCCACTCCTCCCAGCCATTTCTCCGTGTTACTGACAATGGCTTGTGATTTCATGAGGTTCCATGTTGTCTACGTTACAGTTTTATTTTTCTTCAGGAGAGTTTTAGAATACCTGTATGTAATGGCAGGTACATTTCTTTAATGCTCTTGATAGCTAATTCCAAATTATTTTCCAACGGCCTGTCGCGTGGCATTGGAATTTCACATGAAGTCCAGGAGGTCGGGCAGTTGCGAGTGCGTTTGTTCTCTGTTCTGCCTCTGGCATCCTCCGGAACCCCAGCCTCCGGAGCCTTACCCGTATATTGAACTGTACACAGGCTCTCCTTCAGCCAGGACTGTCAGCCCCTGTGCTCCCAGAGCTGTGCACGTCCAGGTGGCAGGCATGTTTCTGGGGAGACAGCCCACCGTTCTCTTTAGGGATCTAGGCAAGCTATGGCCTGGGGGGCAAAACCAGCCTACTACCTCTTTATACACAAGCCTGGGAACGAAGGATGATTTTTAAATAGCCAAAATAAACTAAAAAGGATATGTTGTGTGCCATGAAGATGATGTGAAATGCAGAGGTCTGCATCTCTGAGTAGATTGTGTGGGAAGCCGGCCCTGTGCATTCCTGGCTGCGCTGTCCCTGCGGGCTTTCCCTCTGCAGTGGAAACCTTGTGACCTGCAAAGCCTGAAATGCTCTCTGGTGCTTTGTAGAAAAGGTTTGCCAGGCCGGCCTTAGAATTCCAGAGGCCTCTGTCTCCTGGAGAACAGCAGAGTGGCTAGCTTCTCTAGGCGGCAGCAGGAGCAAGAGTGTCCTTGTTAAGTCCAGCAGCTTGCTGCTGGTGTGCGTTAGCACCAGTTCAGTGACTTTGGTTTTCTTCACTTCCAGAAAGCTGGTCAGAAGCACAAGCCTGCTGATGTGTTTGAGTTTCCTGATAATTCCGAAATCTCAAGCAGTGGCAGTGAAAGTAAGAAAGACGATGAGCCTTACGAGACTTTTGGTTAGTATTTAAATCTTTTTTTTTCTTTTTTTTTAGTTATTTACTTGAAAGAGTTACACAGAAAGGAGGAGAGGCAGAGAGAGAGAGGGAGGTCTTCCGCCCGCTGGTTCACTCCCTATTTGTCTGCAATGGTTAGAGCTGTGCCAATCTGAAGCCAGGAGCTTCTTCTGGGTCTCCCACACAGGTGCAGGGACCAGAGGAGTTTGGCTGTCTTCTGCTTCCCCAGGCCACAGCAGAGAGCTGGATCAGAAGTGGAGCAGCCAGGACTAGAACCGGCGCCCATATGGGATGCCAGTGCTGCAGGCAGTGGCTTTACCCGCTACACCATAGCACCTGGCCCCTGTGATTGATTTTCACTTAGCATGGTGTTTCCAAGGTTCATCCGTATGGTAGCATGCATCTGGCTGTTCCTAAACATTTTTATTCCTCGGTATTCCATTGTGTGGGTGTACCACATGTTGTAATCCATTCATAAGTTGGCATAAATTTACATGGTCTTCACTTAGGGACCATAATGCGTGATTGTTGTATGAACATTCATGAGCAAGTTTTTGTGTTGACATCTGTTTTCAGTTCTCTTGGGCATGTACCTCAGAGTGGAATTGCTGAGTACTTTGGTATTTGAGACAGAGAGAAAGGTCTTCCTTTCCTTTGGTTTAACCCTCAAATGGCCGCTATGGCTGGTGTGCTACGCCGATCTGAAGCAAGGAGCCAGGGTTTCCTCCTGGTCTCCCATGCGGGTGCAGGGCCCAAGGACTTGGGCCATCCTCCACTGCACTCCCGGGCCACAGCAGAGAGCTGCACTGGAAGAGGAGCAGCCGGGACAGAATCCGGTACCCCAACCGGGACTAGAACCCGGGGTGCCAGCACCGCAGGCGGAGGATTAGCCTAGTGAGCTGCAGCACCGGCCTTAAGCACTGTTTTATAAAGCATCTGTACCACTTTATTTTTCCACAGCAAGCTCTGAGGGTCCTAATTTCTTCACATCTTCTTCCAAAGTTGTTGTTATATAATTTTTTTCTAGTTATTCTAGTAATTATGTGGTGGTTTTATGTGTATATATGGAAAAATGCAGCATAAAATTTATAATTTTAACTATTTTAAGTGTAATTTTGTAACATTCACGTTGTTTTTTTAGTTGCTGTTTTTTATTTAGAGTTTTTTTCCCCATAAAACTTTCACTTAAGGAATACAAACTTACGCATTTCATAAATACAATTTTAGGAATGTAGTGATTCTTCCCATTGTACCTGCCCTCCCACCCATACTTCCAGCTCTTTTCCTCCTCCCTCTCCTAGTCCCATTCTTATTTTTTACTAAGATCTATTTGCAGTTAACTTTATAACACATACGGTGAACTCTATACTATGTAAAGAGTTCAACAAATTGTATGAAGAAGAAAAATGTTCCTCAAATGTCAACATGGGCTGTTCAAAGTTATTTCATCTCAAAGTATTAATTTCACTATTTCAGATTACCTTTTAGATGCTCTGTTAATTATCACAGATCAGAGACAACATGGTATGTGCATTTGGGACCGGAGTATTTCACTAAGTGATGCGTTTTCCAGTTTCATCCATTTTGTGGCAAATGACTGGATTTCATTTTTTTTTACTGCTGTGTAGTATTCCATAGTGTACATATCCCATAATTTCTTGATCCAGTCTTCAGTTGATTCCACATCTTAGCTATTGTGAATGGACCTGCAATAAACATGAGGGTACAGATAACTCTCTCATATGCTAATTTGGTTTTGGGTAAATTCTAAGGAGTGTGATGGCTGGGTCATATGGTAGGTCTGTATTCAGATTTCTGAGGTATCTCCATACTGTCTTCCACAGTGACTGTACAAGTTTACGTTCCCACCAATAGTGGATTAGGGTACCTTTTTCCCCACATTCTTGCCAGCATTTGTTGATTTCTGTATGAAAGCTCTTCTAACAGGGGTGGTTTAGATTTGCATTTCCCTTATGGCTAGTGATCCTGAGCATTTTTTTCATGTGTCTGTGGGCCGTTTGGATTTCCTCTTTTTGAAAAAGTCCCGTTTGAGTCCTTTGCCTGTTTCTTAACTGGGTTGTTTGTATTGTTGTTGAGTTTCTTGATCTCTTTATATTCTGTTATTAATCCTTTATCAATTGCATAGTTTGCAAGTAATTTCTCCCATTCTGTTGGTTCATCTTCACTTTGAGTGTGTCTTTTGCAATACAGAAGCTTCTTAATTTCATGTGATTCACTGTCAATTTGACTTTGCTTACCTGTGCCTCTGGGGTTTTTTTCTAAGAACTCTTTGCCTATGCCAGTGTCTTTCAAGGTTTCCCCAATGTTCTCTAATAATTTGATGGTATTGCATCGTAGATTTAGATCTTTAATCCATTTTGAGCAGATCTTTGTATAAGGTGAAGGTAAGAGTCCTTCTTCATACTTCTGCCTGTGGAGATCCAGTTGTCCCAGCACCACTTGTTGAAGAGACTGTCCTTGCTCCAGGGATTGATTTTAGCTCCTTTGTCAAAGATAAGTTGGTTATGGATGCGTGGGTTGATTTCTGGCATTTCTATTCAATTCCATTAGTCTATCCATCTGTTTTTGGCCAGTACCAGTTTGTTTTGATTCTAACTGCCCTGTAGTATGTCTTGAAATCTGGTATTGTGATGCCTCCAGCTTTATTTTAGTTGTATAGGATTCCGTTAGCTATTCGAGGTTTCCTGTGTTTCTATATGAATTTTAGCATTTTTTTTTGTATCTGAGAAGAATGTCCTTGGCATGTTGGTTGGTTGCATTGAATCTGTAAACTGCTTTTGCTAGTGTGGACAATGTGATGACACTGATTCTTCCAACCCATGAACATGGAAGATTTTTCCTTTTTTTTTTTTCTTTTTTGTGGCTTCTGTTTCTTTAATGTTTTGTAATTTTCATTGTAGAGATCTTTGCCATCCTTTGTTAAATTTATTCCAAGGCATTTGATTTTTTTTTCATTGATCTTAGAAGTTCTTTCTTAGCCATGGCATTGTCTATGTATACAAAGGCTGTTGATTTTTGTGTGTTGATTTTATATCCTGCCACTTTACCAAACTCTTCTATGATTTCCAGTAGTTTCTTAGTGGAGTCTTCTGGATCCCCTATATATAGAATCATGTCATCTCTAAACAGGGATAGTTTGACGTCCCCCTTTTTAATTTGTATCCCTTTGATTTCTTTTTCTTCCCTAATGACTGTGGCTGAAACTTCCAGGGTGACATTGAATAGCAATAATGAGGGTGGGTATCCTTGTCTGGTTCTGGATCTCTGTGGGAATGCTTCCAACTTTCCCCCATTCACTATGAAGCTGGTCTTGGGTTTTTCATACATTGCCTTGAGGAATATTTCTTCTATATACAATTTGCTTAGAGTTTTCATCATGAAAGGGTGTTAAACTTTATCAGATGCTCTCTATGTATCTATGGAGATAATCATATGGTTTTGGTTCTTCAATTTGTTAATGTGCTGTATCACATTGATTTGTGAATGTTGAACCATCCCTCTTGGTCTAAGTGAATGATCTTTCTGATGTTGGATTTGATTGGAATTTGCATCTATATTCATCAGAGAAACGGGTCTGTAGTTCTCTTTCTCTGTTGTATCTTTTCCAGGTTTAGGATTTAAGGTGATGCTGGCTTCATAGAAAGAATTTAGGAGGATTCCGTCCCTTTTAATTGTTTTTGAATAGCTTTAGAAGAATTGGAGTTAGTACTTCTTTAAATGTCTGGTAGAATTCAGCAGTGATGCCACTGGGTTCTGGGCTTTTCTTTGCTGGGAGAGTAGTTATTCTTAATTCAATTTCTGTTTTGCTTATTGTTTTGTTTAGGTTTTCTATGTCTTCATGGCGCAATATAGTTAAGTTGTATGTGTCCAAGAGTCTATTCTTTCCTGTAGGTTTCCCATTTTGTTGGCATACAGCTATTTGTAGTAGTTTCTGATGATTGTTTTTATTTCTGTGGTATCTATTCCATATCCTTTTTCATATCAATTTCATTGATTTAGGTCTCCTCTTTTTTTTTTTTTTTTTTTTTTGGTTAGTTGGGCCAATGTCAGTTTTATTTTTTCAAAAAGCCAGCTTCACTTTTCTCTGATCTTTTGAATTTTTGGGTTTCAATTTTTTGTTCTCTAATTTTCATTATTTCTTTTCTTGTACTGTTTTTGAGTTTGGTTATTGTTTTTTACATCATTGAGATGCATTGATAGCTCATTTATTTGGTATCTTTCTAATTCTTGATATAGGCACCAATTGCTATATACTTTCCTCTTAACACTGCTTTTGCCATATCCCATAAGTTTTGCTATGTTGTATTTTCATCTTTATTCATTTCCATAAATTTTTAAATTTCTTTTCTGATTTCTTCAGTGACCCACTGTTCATTCAGGAGCATATTGTTCAGTCTCCATGTGTTGCATATGTTCTAGAGATTACTGAGTTGCTGATTTCCAGCTTCATTCCATTGTAGTCAGAGAAGATGCATGATATGATTTTGATTTTTTTATTTGCTTTGACTTGCTTTATGGCCTAGCATGTGGTCTACCCTAGAGAAGGTTCCATGCACTGGTGAGAAGAATGTGCATTCTGCATTTGTAGGATGAAAAGTTCTGTAGTTATCTGTTTGGTCCATTTGGTCTATAGTGTTAACTCTACTGTTTGCTTGCAGATATTCTGTTTGCTTGATCTGTCCATTGCTGAAAGTAGGTTTTTTTTAAAAGATTTATTTATTATTTATTTATTCAAAAGAGTTGCACAGAGAGAGGAGAGGCAGAGAGAGAGAGAGAGAGAGAGAGGGGGGTCTTCCATCTGATAGTCCACTCCCCAATTGGCCGCAATGGCCGGAGCTGCATTGATCCGGGCCAGGAGCTAACTCCAGGTCTCCCACGTGGGAGTAGGGGCCCAAAGACTTGGACCATCCTCTCCTGCTTTCCCAGGCCATAGCAGAGAGCTTTCTGATATCATGGAATATCTTTTTCATCCTTTGACTTTC